AATAATAATAATAATAATAATAATAATAATAATAATAATAATAATAATAATAATAGAAAAGATTAATGAATGACAAGCTGATGCCATAATGTATCACTGGGCTAAAGTCCACTGTGCAGAAATTGGAGGCAAATTTTCAGTTGGTACAATGTTATTATTTTTGCTAAATATACTGGATCTGGATTGTAAAATTTCAGGCGTCCATTAGATAACAGCGCAGAGACATAGAAAGCACTAAATATTTGCTAGCCTATGGGGAACATCTGGAATTTTGCAGCTTAGATCTATTCTGTACCTTCAAAGATAAAAATAAAATATTTGTTTGAAAGGGTGTATTGCCCAATTATAGAATATTGTATATAAAGCAAAATTAATATTATGATTCATCATCTTAAAATGATCTGCATCTTAAGTTAAATGAGTATAAGCATATAAATAGGTATATTCCATACCTATTGAGGAACAAACTAGTTAACATATATATTGAAGAGTACTTTCTATGAAAATATATTCCAGGAAAAACTGTCTTAAGGTCAGCATTGTCATGTTGAGTTACAGCCAATTTGAAATTTCTCAGGACATTTCAGATATTCACTGAGAAACCCAACTGTCTGGTTTGCCACAGTGGTGCTATTTTACCGGTTTGGCCCAGTTCTACCGTACTGGTAGCACTGAAGATAAGCTGAGACCAAGCCAGTTCTCTCTGATGAGCTGCTCTTGGGCCCACCTGCATGGCTGACCAGGCTCCCATACTGACCTTTATTCCCTACTTTTGAAGCACAGCTGCTTTGCGCGGCACAGAAGATTGCCACGTGTTAGCTGTTGAAGCTACAGGGAGAGTACAGGATTGCAGGAAGTGCGTAGGAAAGCCACTGCGCTTGTGCAAAGTGCATGTTTGGCATGTGCATATGCACAAAGTGTGTGCATGCACATAAAGCACGCCCACCAAGCTATGCCCACTGAACTGGTGGTAAACCTCTTTGAAGGCCACCATTGGTTTCCCAATGTTAATTCTATAAGCAAAAAGCTGGCATGAAGTCTTTATAAACTTTTGAATTGAATGCCTGTGATGATATAGCAATAGCACTTAGACTTATATACCACCCCATAGTGCTTTACAGCATCTATGGGTGATTTACAATGTCAGCATATTGCCCCCAACAATCTGGGTCCTCATTTTACCAACCTCAGAAGAATGGAGGGCTAAGTCAACCTTGACCTTTGTCAGAATCGAACTCCTGGTTGGGGACAGAGTTTGCCTGCAATGCTGCATTCTAACCCCTGCACCATGAAGGCTCAGTGTAGGGTTGGATATATAGAAAATGAAGCATTTAAAATATGGTCCACAATTATGAAAAGGTTATGAAAAGACATTGCTTTGAATTTCTGACAGGATGATGAAACAACTGAAAATGGTTTTAATTTTTGAGAACAGAGAAGGCTTAGTCAATCTAGAAATCTGCACCTGTAGACAATTCTCTAACAAATATCATCTTCTACAGTACAGGGGACTGTAGAGATCAGAGCACATATCCATTGAAGCACAACTTTTGATATCAGAATCCTAAACTTAAACTGGTAGAATTACAAGCCCTCTTTATGTTCTTACACAAAACATATTTTATTTGATTGGTTATAATAGTGTGCATTTTACTGTACATAGACAACACCTGAATCTAATCAATTTTGGGAATTCTATATCTTTATTGAGTAGCTGAATTGATCAATGCATAAATTGAATAATAGATGTGGAAGATGAAGTAATACATTTAAAATAAGGGTCCTAGAATTGGTCTAAAACTGTTATGCTTACCATAACTGTCCTCTGAAAGACTGTTGTTTCTACAACTAAATATTATTTCCCTGGGACCTTGGTTTCCATTCTTATAGATAAGCTTTTACCTATCTTATTAGTACTTGCTATATTATCTTCATCTGAGGATTCTCAAAGCATAGTTGCTTTCTGGCATCTTGTTTGGACCAAAACATATGTGAGTTGGGGCTTAATGTTGGAACCTTATTTTTTAATATATTACAAGACTAATAAAAGATATAATTAATTGCATTTATTAAATTGCATTTACCATCAATTAAGAATATTTCAGATGAGGGAAAATTGTGCATTCACTTTATTTCATTTTAAAATTTTACGTTCTGGTTGGTTTTAACAGATTACAGATCCTGCCAACAAAGATAGATATGAAGTCCCACATGAAAATGTTCAACCTTTTCAGGGATCTAAAGCAACCAACTTAATGTATCGAATAGAAGTCACAAACAATCCTTTTGGAATCAGTGTGATCAGGAATATCAATAATAAAGTCCTGTAAGTTACCTTTCTGTTCCTTAATTGTGTAGCAATTGTCAACTATTTTGATCTCGGGCTCCTTTTAGGTTCTTACAAATGAGTGAGACTTTGGTTTATGTGGTCTATATCTGTCATATTTACTGTATTATAAACATATTGAGAGATTACTTTTATCTTTACAGACTCTCTGAAAGGGTCTCAAGAACTTTCAGAGGTCCCTAGACCACACTTTGAGAACTGTTGCCAATATATTGACAATAAATTTTCAAACATTTTTTTTAAAATGCAGTAAATGCAGTTATTTGAATTGCACACATCTCTAATAGAAAGTATCTCATAGACCATAAGTTGCTTGCACTTTGAATAGGGTCTCAAGAAAGACTCTAAACCAGAAGATGTTTTTGCGTGTTTCATACCAGATTTTGTTACCTGTAGCTCTGTTGTTCAACATGAAATGTAAGTGTATCCACTAACATATTCATTGTTGTTACACAATTTAGGCAAGAATCAGAAGTAATCTTCCTTCTGGGAAGTTTGACTGCCATCATTTATTTATGTAACATCCTTATCACAATATTGAAAAGGAGTAATTAAAACAATACATCAGCAGCAGTCAAGAAAGTGAGCAATGCCTGTTAAGGAATAAAGACCTATTATCTATTCTTCCAAATGTTTCTGGTGTCCTGTAGTGTCCTGTCTTAATGACTATAGTTCTTACTGGTGACCCAATTTTAAGCTCTTATGTCAATTTAGACAAATGCTGGTCTTTTCCTTAGCCTTTTCCCCCTTTTCTTTACAAGGTATTCTTAGTACGAATACAATGTGAATTGAATGCATTTTTTAAAATCCAGTTTATAAAAAGCATAATACCTTTGATCATTCAAACAGCTTCAACACCAGTATAGGACCTCTGATATATGCTGACCAGTTCTTACAGCTTTCCATTAGAGTGCCTAGCTGGAATGTTTATGGTGTAGGAGAACATGTGCATCGACAATATCGGCATGATTTTAACTGGAAAACATGGCCTATCTTTACCCGGGATGCTTTTCCCAATGGGGTAAGTGTCTTCTTCTGATTCTGCATCAGGTTTGGTCTTCCGAAGTAGTAAAATAAATAAGAACATAATTCTGAATGAATGAAATGAAAGGAGGAAAGCAAAATACACACTTTTGAATTGTGATTCCATTTTATACAAGAAGCATGATTCTGACTTTGCTGTGAATCAAATGGTAGGACAGCATTTCTTAAAATTAAAGCAAGGCATAAGGGAGAACCAAAAAGGAAGAAGGCACAGTTTGCTTGTTAAGAATACAGCTGGCCCTCAACTAATGGGCACAACTGAGTCCAAAATTTATTTCGGTAAGTAAGGTAGTAGTTAAGTGAATTTTTCCTCATTTCATGAGCTTTCGTGCTTTAGTTGTTAAGTGAATCACTGCAGTTAAGTTAGTGGCATGGGTGTTAAATGATGCTGGTTTTCCCATTTGCTTGTCAGAAGGTCATAAAGGCTCTCACTATAGGTGACCCAGACACAATAGGTGACACTGCAATGTCATAAATACATGTCAATTGTCATGCATCAGAATTTTGTTCACATGACCATTGGGGATGTGAAAAACAGTTATTGTTGTTTCACTTCCATTGTAACTTTGAAAGATCACTAAACAAACAGTTGTAAATTGAGGAGTACCTGTACTCCAGTGACTTCTATTGCAACATTTTTTTTGGAATCCTTTTTTTCCCTTTCTGTAGAGAACTGGTGATGGAGGAGGTGGGGAGTGGGACGAGGATTATAAGGATATAGTTCTAGATCCTGTTCCAGGGGTTTTTTTTAAATTTGGACAAAGAAGACAAATATTATGTATTTTAACTTTCTTTTACTTTTTAACTTTTGTAATCTGGTCTCCAAAAAGAGTTTTCCCAATAGAGCTTGTAGTACATTTAATCAAATAACATCCCCACCTTCACAAATATATATATATATATATATATATATATATATATATATATATATATATCTATATCTATATCTATATCTATATCTATATCTATATCTATATCTATCTATCTATCTATCTATCTATATATATGTGTGTGTGTGTGTGTTTTCTGAGGTTCTCGCGGGTATTTGTATGTGGATCTTTGGTTGTTCGGGTTTTCTCCCGCGTAAGATTCGAAGTATCTAGGCAACGTTTCGATGAAGTCTCATTCATCATCTTCAGGCTTCTGTCTCCGGCTCTGTGCTTCTCAGAGTGATGTGAGATTGCAGCTGCTTCTTCCTTTTAACTGCTAGTGGGGGTGGGACTTGACTGGGTGGGGGCTTGGCTGTGTTCTGATTGGGTGGGGGTGTGTTCTCATTGGTAGGAGGTTTGGCTGTGTTCTGATTGGTTGGGAAGGAGGACACCAGACCCACACCCATGAGAGCCACACAAGATGCCACCACCACACTTCCATGTAGAAAACAGACTCACACCCACTCAGAAGATGAGACA